ATGTAGTTTTATAAGTCACCCATGTATCTTTTGATATTATGTGGTCGACTGATTGTTACTTGACTATCAGTCAAGTTATTGTTCTCACTCATAAGCCTTTAGGAAATGAGTTGAGTATTGTTCTCACTCGAAGCTTTTAATCAAGAGTTTGAGTTTTTATAATGGAAGAATGATCTTCTAAATTGAGTTGTAATTGTTGTAGTTCCTGTGACCGGGATTGTTAGGTATCACTGCAGTGAATGGAAGTGGAATGTTGATTTCTCAGACTTAGGGAAGACCTAAGTAAAAGTAGCATTGGGTAGGGATTATGAGAGAAGTTATAAACTTGGGACTAGTTTAGCTTTGAACTAATACTGCTTATAGTGGATTTCTTTCTTGGCTTGGTAGCCCCCAGACTAGGTGACGTTGCACTAAACTGGGTTAACATATTGTTGTGTTATTTATCATTCTGCAGTTCATTTTCTATATCACATTAAGCTTGATTGATTTGGTTTGCTACCAGATGTTATAATATATGTCTTGACATCTTCTGCTGTTAAGACAATTTTGTTTGTTTGTGTTACCTATACCAGAATTTCACAGTTGTTCATTTATCATACAAAAACTACTTTGGAAGGTTCCAACTCTATGATTTAGATGAGGACACAAGCTAATGGGCCTGATCTAGGCATAATCATCGTAATAAGCTTGTAGCTAGTGTTGCGCAACCTAATGGGCATGAATTCCTTAATATTTTGTGGTCATTCTACCTTAGAAATTAATGTGATAAAAGTCTCAAAAAGAGAAGAGTGAAATCTACCTATCACAAAAAAATTTGATATAAGTTGGACATCATCATCTCCAACTATATTCCAAATTGTTTAAAAAAAGTACCTTGGAATCCATTAGGGTCAGGCGCCATGAAAGAGTACATTAGATTCAATGAATAAGTAACTTCTTCCTTTTTTGCTTGTTAATTTAAAGAGTGTTGGACTTCTTTTGTAAGGATTAAAGTCATAGTTAAGCCACCCATACTAGCGGGGTGTATAGGAGATGTATGGTAGAAAATGAAGGTAAAGGAAACACAAGAAATGAGGTTGAATTGTGTTTCTAGAATTAAATTTTTTCGGGGCCTAAAACAAAGAACAAAGAACAAAGAACTTAGAATAAAAATAATGAACACAATGTTTTTATCCTGGTTCGCTGTTAACAAAGTTATCTCCAGTCCACCCGCCAAGGTGATTTCGCCTTCTCACAAAGACTTAATTCACTATAACTAAATTTGATTACAAACATAAAGACCTACTGTTAATGTCTTCTTGAGAATTCTAACTATATCCTAGTCTCTCAAGGAATAATCAACTCAAAACTTGAGATATTAAAGGTGTGTTTACAAAGATGCTTCTATGAAAGCGGATTATACAAATTGAAATACAATGATTAGCACAAAAGTGTTTTTGAGCTAGTGTATGAATAAAAGTTCCTTGCTTTATAACTTTTCTCACAAAGATGAAATATTTTTGTTCAAGATTGTTGTGCAAACGTTCGCGTGAAAAGTTTTTCTTCCAATTTTCCAAGGCCTCTTTATATAGGCATAGAAAGATCCATTGGAGTGTAGAATAGGAATTCCAAAATTCCAACTATATTCTTGCATAACAGTCAGTGAGAGTGGTAGACAAAATGGTGCCATAGTATTGTACTTGCACCATAAAATCAGTGTAGCGGAAGAAATATTTGATCTTGTACAATATACTATTCACTCACGTAAAAACTTTTTGACCTTATCTTCTAATCTTCAGAGGCTTCAGAATGCATGTTGATGAAGCATGCTTAGAAGGATCAAAAGCAGAAAAAGAGTCTTTAGAACCTTGTCTTTAGAATCTTTAGAACCTTGTCTTTAGAGTCTTCAGAACTTGGTCTTCATAACCTCAAAACTTGAAAGCGCATAATGTTTAGAGCTTGATAATCTTCATAAGCTTTTCAATTAGAGCCACAGTCAGGAGCTTTTAGACAAATGTTCTTTAGAACCATTGTTTAGAAACATTCCAGAACTTGACTAAAACTTTGTAAAGCGTATTTTGTATCACTTTAGAGTTAAAGTGTGTTGAGTTCAGAAACTGATGACGTCACACGCCACTTCTCCAGAATTAGAACCTGATAGAAAAATCTACACACTAGACAAAACCATTAGGATGAAAAATTGTTCTCTAAGAAACAATGTATTGTTATCATCAAAACTAAAGGCCAGATGCAGAACAAAATCTTGTTCTAACAGAAAAGACCTTTAAATAAAGTCAGTTCTTCTTCCCTAAGAATAATATCATCATTTCACCAAACACCATTGGGATGATGAAGACCATGAACTTTATTTCTCTTTCGTCGGATTACCGTATTGGTACGAAATTTTTTGGTGTTATGATCTCCCAATTTAATTCAATAATCTCTAGACTTTTGAATACCAATGAATATCCTCTTGCGTAAGGATCACATCATACTTTTGTTGAAGCTCTTTTTGGAGATAAACTAGTCTTGTAGAATCTATTCTCTCGAAAGAGCGTTGGATACCCCTGAGTCTCTACTCAAAGTTATGCTTCTGTTTACTGATATTTCCAAATTTTTCCTTTATTAAAAGGGATGAAATCATGTTGCACATTTTAGAGACAAATTACCATGCCATATGGGGATTTTTCCCAAGTAGTATGGACTATATTAGAGTATTTCAGGTGAGTGATCTATGCTTCCTCAAACCTAAAAGGATGCAACCCGTGGTCTTGGAAGGGAAAGACACACCTAAGAATAATATGGTTGTGATCAAAATGAAATTTACACAACACCTCAACTTATGCATTAGGGAAAGCCATGCGCCGAGCAACATCAACCAGGGCCCTATCCAGCTTGCGATAAACCATTCTATTACCAATACAAGGCCTATTCCAAGTGAATTTTTCACCATTCATGTCTACTTCAACTAAATTACATTTATCAATGACATTCAAAAAATCAACTACTCTAGAATGATACAATTACCTCCTTTTTGTTCACTCGGATGAATAATATCGTTAAAGTCTCCAATCAACATCTAAGGACCATCAACAATGTTCCTCTGCTTAATGAGGTGGAGGCACAAGTCAAGACGAGAAATGTACACGAGACTAGCATAAATTCTAGTTACATACCAAGAGGAAGTTCCCAATGATAATTTGATAGTAATTGTTTCCATAAAGTCATCATGAACGACAATTATAATGTTACTACCATTATGCTTTAACACCCAAATGCCCCTAAATTAACCACGTGCATTCATGTAGTGAACACTCACATATACAACTCTATCTTAGAAGGATTTTGTAATATTAAAATCAATGTGTGTTTTCATAATGATTAAAAATGTTGAAAAGTGTTCTAATCAAATCCATCACATGTCATTTCGCCTTATTATTAGAGGCTCCCCATATATTCTAGGAGAGCACGATGACTTCTTTGAAACCTAACATAACTAGTCAAGTTAATGGAGGTGACAAAACAAGTTCCAGACACGAGACAATTTACGTATTTGGCTCCCATTCAAAGAGAGTTTCACAAACAACTTTCTCTTCTTGAATAACACCCTCATCCATAAGTCATTGGTTATTTCCATTTACCTAACTTGTCATTGGCTCAAAATATGGAATGTTGTATCAACGATAAAGGTGTATTTAGTAGTGCTAGGAACACCCTTTTGTGCTGGGCAAAAATTAAAAGTTAGCCCAGTTTTGTGCGAAGACCCACTAATAGAAAGACGTGGTTCCAAAATGGCATACTTGGCCTTGTCGCGTGAGTCTCCTCTGTGTGATGGTTGACACACATTTGGGGTGGGGTTACTCTTATCAAATCGATGTTTCTTGGAAATTGCCTCAAGTTGATTGGGTCCAACAATTTTGCTGTTAATGCTTATTCCTTTTAAGGAAACGTCAATCCTCTTGATTTTTGAATTCCCAATATCTCTATGCGCATTATTGGATAAAGATTTTCCTTGAACATAAGCGACTCTTTTGATGTGTTTTTTCCTTTATACCACCAGCAAATCACCACGAACTACATTTATTTCTCCAAATTCTTTTACTACAATTTCGGTGCTATCATCACCCACTTTCTGATACAGTTCTGTTAGTCTTTGCTCATGGACAACATCGTTTTCCGGCCGACCTCTTGGTTGCGCCACCAGAGGAACAACCATCTGCGTCAGATTACATGGCGTTTTCTTACAATCACTGGTGTGATGTCCATAACAACAATAATTGAAGCAAATAATTTCTAGACCTTCATACTGCATGTTGTACCAGTGGCCATTAAAACTGACCTTTCCGACAATCAGCAAAGTCATATCAATCTACATGCAAATTCTCGCAAACCTTCCCCCTTTACATTCAGGGTGTTAGTATCTACCTTAATAGGAGTATCCACAACATATATCAAACCAAAAGGGACAATTTCATCATAATATAATAAGTTAAACATTAGAAATCGAATCCAAACTATATTCTTCTCCACCTTTACTAGAAAAAAATGTAAAATGTAGAATCCATCAAACCAGTCTCAAATAATAATCAAACAACATCATATTTATTCATCTTTTAAGAGATGAAATCCACTTTAGATAAAAAAGTTTTAAAAAAAAAATTAGTGATTTGGCAACTCCACTTGCTTATCAAATAACAATAAAACATGGTAAGAAGGGAGAGAACAGATTTCCAATCGCTGCTAAGACGGCGATGTTCCACGGCGGCAAAGATCCACCCACGACGGAGACAAATCCAATGCTATTCTTCATTCCTATCTTCAACTCAACTCACACTACCTACTAGCTAGTACATACAATTTCTTCTAAATATGGTAATTTCTTCAAAACTTCATTTCTTTTGCTTCTTCTATCAACTTTGTTACCTAATTTAATCACCTAACTTTTCAGGTTTTTACTCAGGATTCTTAACTCTGTGTAATAACTAGATTAGTTTGAAGTAATCATTTGAGTTTTGTGTGAAATGGGTAACTCTTTTCTACCCTTAACAGTATACCATGTAAGATTTAGACATCTCTTAACTGTTGTTATGTTCATTGCTACTATAGTTCTTTTCCAATGTTATTGGAAAACATTTTCTATATTGGATGTGCCTACATTCATTGCAAACAATGTTACTTTGGAAAAAGAACAACAAGGTTTGGATTTGGATCATGGATTTCATTCTGATGAGGGAAGAATCTTCAGTAGTGAGAGTTTTGAAGTTGATAATTATGAAAAAGAAATTCACAGTTTCACTCAGATAAGAATGCATGATCATTCTGCACAAAAGGTTAGAGAATTCCATAACAAACACAGAAACAATATGCATCTTGCACCAAATGGAAATGGAATACAAAGTATGGAAGTAATAGAGCCTCAAAATGTGAAACCTCAGCTACTCATAACTTCTTTGTCCGTTTTAAATAATAAATCTATGTCAGGTTCCTCGACACAGACGAGTAAGTTGGTGTGGCCAACTTCGTTAACAGAGTTGAATGCTCGGTTGATTCAGAGTTTTAATTCTTCTTCTATGGTATGCAGTTCAACTTTTGTGATATCAATTGACCATTGTTGAGTATGTATATAGACTTCTAATTTTGCATATTGTGTATTGATGACAGAAGCCAGAGTGGTCTTCGCGACGTGACCGTGAACTCTTATCTGCAAAACTGGAGATTGAAAATTCAAATGTCATATCAAATTCTCCAGGACTTTATGCACCTGTTTACCAGGACGTTTCCAAATTTTCAAGGTACACCAACAATTGCTCAATTTGTTAGATGTATAGAACTACATTGCAAATGACTCTTTTTTCATTCTTATATTCTCGGATCTAAGTTGCAAGTTGTCATGTATTTTCTTGTTTACTATGTTACTGTGCTTGAATTGGCTCAATTTAGTAAATTTTAAAACGAATTTCAAGAAATCATTTGTCATTTAGGATTTGTTCGGATTGACTTATTTGAGATTATCTATCGACAAATGAAACATAAATACTTCTATGATAATTGAATTGCATCTGTGATCTGTTCTTCAGGAGTTATGAGCTGATGGAGCGCAAGCTCAAAGTTTATATCTATAGAGAAGGAGAAAAACCAATATTTCATCAACCAAAGATGAGAGGAATTTATGCCTCAGAGGGATGGTTTATGAAATTGATGGAGGGGAGTAAAAGGTTCATTGTAAAGGATCCCAAAAAAGCTCATTTATTTTACCTTCCGTTCAGTTCGCAAATGTTAAGGGCTAATATTTCCAACAATAAGCAGATGGAGCAATACCTTGAAAGATATGTGAATTTAATTGCGGGAAGATATCGTTTCTGGAACAGAACTGGAGGAGCAGACCATTTTCTCGTTGCCTGTCATGATTGGGTGCGCTTCTGATGTACCGCTTTTGATTACCATTTATACAGCATAGTGTTGATAATAGTCTTTTTTAGAGTCTGCTTGAATTAACATAATGTGATGCATGAATTTGCAGGCTTCCCGAATCACAATGCAACCAATGAAGAATTGTATTCGGTCTCTATGCAATGCTAATGTTGCTAAAGGATTCCAAATAGGGAAGGACACTACTCTACCTGTTACATACATACATTCTGTGATGAATCCACTAAGAAAAATTGCTGCTAAACCTCCTTTAGAAAGGACTATCCTAGCCTTTTTCGCAGGAGGCATGCACGGTTATCTCCGTCCGGTCTTACTAAAACACTGGGAGAACAAAGAACCTGACATGAAAATTTTTGGTCAAATGGCACGTGACGCAGAAGGTAAAAGAATTTATATGGAGTACATGAATAGCAGCAAATATTGTATATGTGCTAGAGGTTATGAAGTTCACACACCAAGAATAGTCGAGGCGATATTTTCCGAGTGTGTGCCGGTTATCATATCAGATAATTATGTGCCTCCTTTCTTTGAGGTGTTGAAATGGGAAACATTTTCGGTATTTGTTCGCGAAAGCGAAGTCCCTAGTCTTCGAGACATACTTCTCTCAATTCCAGAAAAGAAGTATTTGGCATTGCATTTGGGAGTAAAGAAGGTTCAGCAACATTTTCTGTGGCACAAAATTCCTGTTAAGTTTGACTTATTTCATATGACTCTTCACTCTATATGGAACAATAGACTTTCTCAAATGAGATTGAAGTAATGATATCATTGATGTAAACAAGTTGTGTCTAAGTAGATATGAGGTAGAAGATGTAAATAGATATATGTATATCTTGTTTTGTTTGATTAAGATGTTTATTTATCTTTGAGAGCTGTTTTTTTCTTCCATGATTTCTTAAAAACCACACCTTATGCAGAAGTATCTTTTTCTTTGGATGGGAAAAAACAGTATCTATGAGTTTATAACTCCTGAAGAACACATGTACAAATACAAATCCAATTATTGAAAGAACTCATACAAATGACATTTGAATTTGCATTTAGATAGGAGATTTGCATTTTATAATCATATGGTTTTTCTTGTTCTGGTTATATGTAGATCTATAGGTGCAATAAATATGTATAAGTCTCCCATTTCTTCATAACCTATTTCCAGTATCCCACTTTCCACTTTGTTTTATTAGAGGTTTTTCTTACCAAATTATTGTTAGTATCATTTGTGTTTAGCTTTGTTCAAACAAAGGGAATAAATCTTCTATTGTGAGAATCATCCTCTAGGATACAATCTATCTGTATATTTATAACATATTAAATCTAGAGTGACCGATGTTCCTATCACTTGAGTTCTATTTGTATCACATCTTTCATTTGTTTACACGTCTTCTATCAAAAACACATTCTCATTCTTCCATAATAACAATGATTATTGTAGGGGGATTTCTTTAGCCATTTTTATATGGGTGAAAAACACTTATGAAAACTCTAAAATATCATTCGGAAATGTATATTTGAACGAATCCTTAAATCTATTTTTATGAGAGTTTCAGATATGCATATTCTAAAATCCCCTTTTACACGTTAATAAACATTCAATGATATTTTTGAATATCCATATCCGAAAGGGAGATCTGGGTATAGTCTGCACATAACCAAATTATCGGATGCATCGCTTCGAAAGATATCTGACCATAGTGTCGGTCCCACATGCCAACCACCCCGAGTATAATGAGATGGGGTCGAATGAGACAACCTTCCTGTGATCCTCAAAAGGCATCCAGATGATGTCATCATGAACATTCTGATCAAGATACACCCGGAGCGGTGGCACAACACGATTCCCTCTGTGGGGGATGTACCTGACAGCCATCAGCATGTTTTAAATATAATCCGGATCATAATTGAAACCATGAATGTGGTGGAAGTGAGAAATGATCCATCCTTAAAAACGTTTGGTGCTGCTGCTAAAACATAACTTCTTTGCTTCTTTACAATGACTTTCTTTCTTTGCCTTATCCATTTCTTGGATAAAAAATGCACCTTGAAGCATTTATTACTCCATGCTCTAATCACGCTCAAATACTTATAAAATGATTGGAAAAACATCAAAGGGTATACTATGTACACAAAAACTCACATATACACAATATAAACGTATTTATCCAAAAGTTGAAATTTATTCAACGAATATTAACAAAGAAGAGTCGATAAGTGCCACAAAACTATATACAAAATAACTACAAATTGAAACTTATCGAACTCTCCCAAACTTACAACATTGTTTGTCCCCAAACAAAGTCAAATAAACTTAAAGAAGCAAAAATGATCAACCAAAGAATCATGAATCAACAAGTTTTAAAAATGGAAAACAAACATATGGTTCAAACAAAAATGCACAAGCAAAGTAAATGCATACCACAATCTTACAACGACAACATGAAAATGAAACAAATCCTAAGTACAAAAATCATGCAAAAAATATAAAACAGCAAAAGCTAAATCATGAATCACACCTAGCAAAAATTCATCGAGGGATGAAAAATACATAAAGGTGATGGTTTGACACTCATCCAACATTCTTGTAAACAAAAGACTTAATTAGGCATTCATCCAAAAATTCATATTGAACATACAAATACAAGAACCACAAGAACTTTTCAAGGTTGTAATGTGGCTTGGTTAACAAACAAAGGATAATTCCTAAAGCTAATCGAAATAAAAACTTTCCTAAACCTAAGGGAGTGATCAACTCACAAAAGTTCAAACACAAAATTTCAATCAAACTTCTTCTTTCATCCCAAGTGTTACACCAAACACAACTTACTTATTAGCATAATTATTAGATACTCTTTTTGTTTTTCTTATTCAAAATTTTCTCTTTTTTATTTCTTTTACTTTTCTTTCTTTTTCACTTTTTTCTTTCTTTTTCTTTTCTTTTTCACAATCGCACATCAACCAATAACATAAGTGATCAAACATTGATCTCTCCAAATTGAATTCAACCAACATCAATGTGTGACTACTCCTTACTTTCTAAAGCAAAGAAAAAAATTCAAACCATAAATCATGGTTGAGGGTTCAAGAAAATAAAGAATCAACATTCATCCAAAAAAGGTGAACTAAACACTCATAGACAAGCATTAACTTAAAAAAAAAACATAGACATTGAGAAAAAGGCTCATATTAGACGACGACAATAATATCTAGATGGGGTGAATAGACACCCCTTTAAAAATATCTTAATAAAATTTGGTTTTGAAAAAGTTGTATCTGAAGAAGTGAAAAACACAAGAAGGGGGGTTGAATTGTAAAACTGAAAATCAATGCAATGAACACACTATTTTTATCCTGGTTCGTTTGATCTCAAACTACTCCAGTCCACCCGTCAAGGTGATTTCGCCTCTCTCCAACGAGGTCTTAATCCACTATATTCAACTGAATATTACAATCTGCTGTAGCAACTGCTAGAGCCTTCTTGAGTCAAACCACAAACCGGTTTCTCAAGGAATCACTTTCTTACAAAGAATTGAAATCTAGGTGTGTGAATGTTTTCTACAAAACAGTTTATCACAACTGTGATATTACACAACTTAAGCTTATGGAAACTAGATTGCTAAAATAATTGAGTAAGGAGATATGGAGCTTTTAGCAAACTGAGAATAAGAAGAGTGATGATTAGCTTTTAGGCGTGTGAATTGATGTAGAGCATTAGCCAATTCAATCTTCATTGTCTTGTTTATATAGCATTGAAATTGATGAACGTTGGAGCAATAATCTTGATTCAATGCCAATTACAAACTTTCCTTATTAAGCAGATCTTGTCTGGAATGATGCCGTTGGTAATAACTCGTCTTGAATGCACAATACCGTTGCTACTAAAGCATGTTCTGACTTTGGCTCATTCTGACGCTGCTTAAGTGCTGATGAACTGTTGTTGTCTTTTATCAGAGTTCAGAGTGTTGAGCGCAGTTCTGTTCATCAAGCTTCAGCATAAGCGTGAGTTGTTCTTCTGATTCTGGTATCTGATATAGCATCTTCTGATGCTGATGTTGATATCCAATATTTTGATGCTGATTATGATGTACTCTTGTTGATACCTATCAGAGTTTCTGCAAAACAGAAAGTAATATTTTAGGTAGCAAGTAGTTCTTACATGAATCACATAATTAATATATCTTTTCATTTTGTTATCATCAAAACTTAAACTTAGGGTAGTAGATTCAAACTTTGTTCTAACAATCTCCCCCTTTTTGATGATGACAAAAACTAGATATTTTTTAATTGAAAATAGCGTGAAAAAGTATCAGAGATAACTAAATGATGAGTTGCATCAGAATTAAATAAGGAGTTATCAAGGATAAGGGATACAGAGATATCAGAGATAGGATCGGAGATACTCCCCCTGAATTTATTACTTCCCTTTTTAATTCCAGGAGTTCTTCAGGATCAGATCTTTATTGAATTCTTGAACATCAGAGTATCAGAGCTTTGACTATCAGAACTTCAGATCAGAATATCAGAGCTTTATCAGAGCTTTGCTTTGGGCTTCAGTGTATCAGAAAGCATTCTTGTACCTGTAGACTTATGCAAAAACAGAAAACATATTCAAGTATATCAGAGTTAGAATGTTTGAGACTTTTTGTCTCAGTAATCCGTTATTGAAAAATATCATTCTTGTTCTCCCCCTTTTTGTCAGCAATCAAAAAGTGTAAGTGATGTGCTAAAACGATTAGAGCAGAAAAACTTGTTATACTAAAATATTCAGAGCCAGACAAAACAGTACAAAAGGTATGCAAAGAAAAACATTGAAAATATCATGAATGAAAAACTAAGGTTGGGGAGGAAAGCGTGTGAACAGAGTCTCCAGCATTGCCTTAATCTGATCAGCAGTTTCAGTCTGCTTGTGCACCATGCCGACTACTGTATCTATCTTGCTGTCCTGCACATCCATCCTTTCCTTCATCTTCTGATCACTTTCATCCATCCTTTGCTGCAAACAAATATCATTCAGCTTCAGCTCTTCCAGAGTCTGCCTGTCCAAGACAACTTGAGAAACATCAGAAGCAGGAAGCTTCTGAGAGCTTTCTGCAACATCTTCAGCTTGTCTGACTTCAGCTTGAGTTGTCTGATCTTCTTCTGGCTGCACTTTTGAAGCTGGACGCTTCTCAGACCATGGCTCACTATCCAGAAGGAGCACGCCTTCTTGTGGCAGTTGACTTTCAACTTCCTTCAGCAGCTTGCTGAAGTTCTGTTGTGCCTGCTCATAGTTGATATCCTGCGACTTGAGGGCTTCAGCACGTACCCAAATTCTGAAACGTGACCAGAGCTGGTCTGAGGCAGCAGGATCAATCATTCCAGGACAGACTTGCTTCAGAGAAGCAATCCATTGCTGCAAACCTGTTTCAAAATTTATAATGCCAGAGCCAACATCTGGCTGTTTTGGTTTTGGAATGGCTATTTTATTTTTGAGATCAGCAAGACGGTCAAGGATTGTTAAATCGATGAAGGTCCTGCTGGGGTCATCTGTAGTTTGTTTGGGAGATGTTTGTTTGGGAGATGGAGTGGGAGAATCAAAAATAATAATTGGACTGTGTGGGGTTTTTGGAGTATTTGGAGGGGTAGTTTCTGGCGAGGATGGCAGCTGGGCCATGGTTACAGTTGTTCCACATGGCAGCTGAATTGCCAGAGGTTGGGGCTCAGAGGATTGTGGAGAATGAGGTTCAGGAGATGGGGTTTCAGAATGATGAACCTCAGGTTGAGGAG